TTTTACTATTCGACGTCTATTTGCCCCTACAAATAGGATTTGTAGGGGTAGCTCGATATAGAGCTGCACCTACCAATCAAGCCATTTGTAGGGGGCGGCTCATAACACCAGCAACCTCTACAAATGGATTTCTAGGGGTGGCTCGTTTGGACACCATTTGTACCTAAAAAAAGAGGGCGTTGATACAAATCCTTTTCTGTAGCAGTGAATGTTGGTTTGCTCGAGATGGTCGTTGCAGTGGGGAATGGTCCTTCTATTTTTATATGGGTTGGGTTGTGATGCTTATGATTTTGTCTACGTTTATATATTACTTGTGAAAAGTGATTTATTTGTGTTGGATGTCTAGTTTTTAGGGGAGAAGCTGACAAAATTTTCAATAATTTTTTTAGTGTGAGTTAGTTTTGTGTGTTGATGGGTAGCCGACGCTGCCATTACTAGCCGGGCGCGCTACACAAGCCTATAATTTTTTCGGGTAGGTCCGGCCAAGTACGCTGTTGGCACAACCCAAAATTAATGAAAATACACATTGAACTCAGCCGAAAATGCTGGACGCATATAAAATAAAATATAGCCTCTCCTCATGGACCATATGCTTCCTTTGTTGTCTTGACCAAGGAAAATGTTGGGGGAAGCACCCCTGGCAATGCTCCCCCTAACCCTCAACCCGCAGCTAACCGAACTGACTCACCTCATCACGGGCACCAGCCCTCGTCATGAGGGTTTCTCGTCCATGGTGTTTTCTCTTGCTTTTCAGGCGGTGCGCTCGGAGGTCGGACAAAGCGGGAGTGAGGTCGGTGGGAAGCCGACGAGATCAACGGTGGAGGGCGGACCCTCGCTAGGAGCGTGCGAGGGTCACCGCCAACCGCAGGAGGGAGCCATCCCGGGGCCATTGACAGTCCCACTGTAGAGATGGAGGCTCGGAAGAAAACAACCAAGGGGGGAAGATTACCGCCGTGCCCCTGGGTCGGGCGCAACGCTTGGCCCCTAGAGAAACCCTAATGTAATTCCACCTTGCCTCCGGATATAACCTATAAATACCCGGAGTGCTCATGTAAGAGGGGGATTTTGGATTCTTTTCTGGACGAATTAACGAGCATTTAATCCGCATTTTTCCATTGCATCGTTTCCCGCTACCCTTGTCACCTGGAACCCACACTCGTTCGTTTCCACGGCATGCCTTGTCCGACTACCTATGGGAAACCCTCGGTTTCTCCCTCCACGATCCTCAGCGGAGGTGAGAGACCAGGAGTGACCCCATAGTTGGCGCCATCCGTGGGGACCCCATCGCACCACAAATTTCTCAACCAATGGTTGCCAGCGCCAGGAGGACCGCCAACAACAATAGGGATCGTCCACCCCTGCGTGGGGGCAAAGCGGTCGCAGGAGCAAGAGGCACCATCCTGCCCCACCCTACCGTGCAACCGTCGGAGGTCACGGCCGATCTCTAGAGACCCCCTTCCGCTGGGACCGAAGCCAACCCGCAACCCAACCCAGCTAGAATGGAGGAGGTTGAGGACGATGAGGACGCAGAGGCAAGAGATCTCGAGGCCCTAAACCAAATGCATGAATAGCTCCAAGAAAAAAGACGTCGGGTTGAGTGCCCACGAAATGCAGGTGCGCTTACAAGTCATAAGGCAAAAGGCAGACGAGATTAGGGAAAAACTTAGGCAAATGGATGAATACATGGCCGCCATCCAAACCGACCCAAATTACCTACCCGAGCAGTATGACTTACCGCCTCCGCTCCAGCCAAACCCACCTCCACTCCATCCAAACCCACCACCTCCGTGACCACCACCTCGTTTTCACCAGCTCTACCCAGAATTCATTACCCCAGCCATACAACAACACCATAGAAACCAACCTCCCCCAATGCCATACGATCCAAAATCCCCACTAACCTAAATACTACAAACCAAAAGTTGGCCACTTGAATACAAACCACAGAATCTACCAAGGTACGATGGAAGCGTGGACCCTCGCCAATTTGTGATGAGCTACGAGGCCACAGTAGTAGCAGCCGATGGGGACAAGTACACAATGGCAAAGTCCTTCGTAATCATAGCAAGGGACATCGCTCAAAGCTAGTACAGCTACCTCCCGCTAGCCTCGATAGACTCCTAGGGGAGCCTACACGAAAAGCTATGCAACAACTTCAAGGGCATCAGCCCTTCAGCAAACAATCCCATGGAACTATTCATGTGCACCCAGTCTGAAAGAGAACCCCTTCGTGACTTCTAGCGAAGGTTCATTCAACTCAGAGCAAGGACACCAGACTTAACAGATAATGCAGTGATCTTAGCAGTAGTCAACGGAGTAAGACCAGGGCCATGTTCCTCGAGGCTCGCAAGAAAGCCACCAAAAATAATCGTAGAGTTGCACGAGGTCATGGAAAAGTACATCAGATCAGACACTGTCTTTCATTCAAAGACCGAAGCTTTGAAACCTCAAATGTGCCCACCTCCGAGACCACCATAGCGCAACCAGTATCCTCACAATGAACCAATCAATGTGAAAACCATAGAGGCCACACCTCCGCAACGCCAAACACAACAACCAAGTCCAAGATCTCAATAAACCCCCACCAACAACCAAAACGACAGCAGAGAACATACCCAAAGTAGACCCAACCCAAGAGATCCAGCGAAGCTATGCACCCATTTCTGTGGATCGGGAAAAGGCCACACGACAAAACAATGCGCATGGTTTGCGAAGGGAAAAGAATATCAAGAGACACAACAAGCCGCAGCTTCATGCCCACCTAAACCTATTAACTACACAAGGAGATAGCCCACCTGCGCAACCACCCCATACCAATACACTCCAGTAAACTACGGCATCCCCTCGCAACACCAGCACCCACAATATCAAACTTCGCAACCTACAACCCATCCTACCACCACTACAACACCTACAACAACCCTCAGTCATCATTCAACTACAACAATCATTCAAACAACCAACTATACATGGTCACCCATCCCCCCACTCCACCTCAATCGCAAAACCAGCATCAAGCCTTACCACCACCACCGTCGCCGCCGCCAAACGAACCTCTACAACAAGTAAAACTAGAGCCCGCGAGCCAACCCAGCCAAACAACAATCAACAACCCAACCGCAACCTTCGGTGTAATACTTGCAATCACCTGAGGATCCAACGAGGATCACGGCAATAAGTGGCAACGAAAAGAGCACATGAGGCGGGTACATCACCTCGCTACCGAAAGGCCGCACAAAAATTCATAATGGTCTCACATCCCATTAACCATCGACGGCACAGACCTCAAACTAAAGGATTACCCTCACACCGACATGATGTCATCGAGACAAACCTAGCCGGATGGGCAGTAACAAGGATCCTCGTCGATACAGGCAGCTCTGCCGACATCCTATTTGCAACAACCTTCGACAACATGAAACTAGACAGAAATCTTCTCCAGCCGGTAGGACGTCCGCTATACGGATTCGGGGGCAAACAAGTGAAAGCCATAGGCAAAATCACAATCCCAGTAACCTTCGGCGACCAAAGCAACAGCAGGACAGTGCACGTAACCTTCGATGTGGTTGACATGCTATTCAACTACAATGCAATTTTCGGCTGAGGGGTCACAAACATTTTCAGTGCAGTCCTCCACCCGGGCTATCTCTGTATGAAGCTGCCCTCTGCAAAAGGCGTCATTGCCGTATATGGCAACCAAGACCTCGCTAGAATAGTAGAAGAAACAGCCACCCCAGGGCAGAAAAATGTACACAACCTCAGTAACGAAAATCCAAAAGTCAAAGAACCCTCGCCTGACGAATCAGGACAACAAGCCAGGGCAAAGCCAGCAGAAGAAACCAAGAAAGTACGACTATTCGAAGGTATCACCAGCAAGCAAGTCATCATCTCCACTATGCTGGATGACAAAACTGAGAGCGAACTCATCCATTTCCTGCGTGACAACAATGACATCTTCTCCTGGGCTGCTGAAGACCTTCGAGGGGTGGACAGATCAATTATTGAGCACTTCCTCGACGTGAACAAAAACCACCCCCAGTCAAGCAAAAACTTACAAAAATGTCTGAAGAAAGAAAGCAAGTAGCCAAGGCGGAGGTCCAACGCCTTCCAGATGTGTGGGTCATTCTACCAGTCAAATACCCAACCTGGCTATCAAATGTCGTGCTAGTCAAAAAGAAAAACGACAAGTGGAGAATGTGCGTCGACTTCATGAGCCTAAACAAAGCCTGCCCCAAAGATGATTTCCCTCTACCTAGAATTAGCACCCTTGTTGACTCAGCAGCCAATTGCGAGCTCCTGTCACTCCTCGACTGCTTCTCGGGATACCACCAGATTTGGATGAATCAGGAAGATGAGGAAAAGACAAGTTTCATCACCCCCTTTGGAACATACTATTCAGAAGAATGGCAGAAGGGTTACGAAATGCAGGATCAACCTTCGCCCGCATGACAGCAAAGGTGTTCAAAGAGGGCAAAGCAATCTCAGCCTACGTGGACGACATCGTCGTAGAGCAAACTCAGGCAAGACCACATCGAAGACCTCAACAGGGCCTTCAGCAACCTCCGCAACGCAGGGCTCAAACTGAATCCAGAAAAATGCATATTTGGCGTAAGCAAAGGGAAACTGCTTGGTTGCCTCGTTTCAGCAAGAGGAATCGAGGCCAACCCGAAAAAATCGATGCAATCCTCAACATGGAACATCCGACCTCAAGAAAGTTGGCATAGAGGCTTGCAGGTAGGCTCGCTGCCCTAAACAAATTTATTTCAAGGTCCGCAGAGCGAGGACTTCCTTTCTTCGAAGTACTAAAAAACACAGACTCATGGGCCTGTAGCATCATCGTACGTGCAGGTATGTTGATGAATAGAAAATTTGCATCTACTGAAGTTATATTACACTTAGATTGTTATGTTGGCATTCAATTATTTGTTGCCTGTAGCATCATCGTACGTGCCTTTATTAGCATACTCCACTGTTACCAACAACAAAACCATGGGCCTGTGCTAGTGGAATTTCCATCCGGTGGAGATGTCATGTGAATTGACGGCATATGTTGTGCCTGTCTTGTCGTCCTTAATTTTAATGCTCGACGAACCTGAAATTACAAGCAGATGATCAAAGAGTTGTGGAAGTATGGGGCAACACACGACTAACATTCATAATTCAGAACAATGCAATGCTTGTACCAACCAACCATGTTTTTCCACAGTTTTCTCTCTCCCATCTCTAATATATGAATAACTAAAAGCGATTTCCACACCCTCCCTGCCCTTCGTCTGTCGTCCGTCCACCCCACACAACGAAAAAAATGAGCACCCCTCAACCTGAGGCACCACCTGCATGTTTGTTTGCAATCTGAATACCAAATCTAACCACTTGAACATATAGTGAGTGTTTGGACGACCCATATTTGTTTGCAGCTGTGGCGCCATTCGATCTCTGAATATATGGATAACTCATGTTCTTTGCGGCTGAGGCACCGCCTGCGTGTTTGTTTCTAGAGTAGCTAGTGCACCTTGGGCAGATGGGCTACACAGGCCAGCAAATCATATATATATATATATCTATCTAATTCTATGCTTGATTGCCAATATATGCATTACCAAATGTGGACGTTTCCTCATGGTCTATTGTCTGCCCCGTTGCAAAGTTGTTTCAAAAAGGAAGAAATTGTCTTTCACCAAAAAAAAGAAAATAAATGTAGATGAAGTTTTATCCCAAACTATGTAATGGCAGTTGACAGTTGACAGGAATATAAACTATTGTATGCTGAGCTCGTGGCTCCCAATTTCAAGCAAAATATTTTGTAATAAACTAAGTATCGGCAGATTTAAGCGTGCTAGCACTTACTGTTGTAGTCAGTCCACCCAATGACTTGATTTTCCAAGTCATAGACAACAAATTTGTTTGAAAGTACAAGATCTGAAACAAATTAAAACACAGTTTCAAAACACAGCATTGAGAACAAAATGGATTTGCGAGTGCAGTGCAATGCTGACCTCCCATAAGCACAACGTCCTTTTCACCATGTAATGCGCTATTCTGGAATCCCACACAGTACAAGTCATTCCGCTCCAATGAACCAAAAATGTGGACCATAAGAGTCATGAGTCATGACCATCTATTTTTTGTGCAATCGTCAATGGAACTTGCATAATAGCATTGCTATTTCAAACCATTGTTGTGCATGAATCAAAATATCTTAGAGATGTAGTGATTAAACAACTTACTGAAATAACTAATATCTATGCCTATATCTTATCCTGTAGAGTGTGTGGTATAGAGGCTTTACTGATTTACTGTACAGATGTTTTAATGTCATGTATCCACAAAGGGTAAAAAAAGAAGTTATTCCAAAAAAAGAAAGACTTTACAGCTACAAACATATAATAAAAAGAATGTATACAAATACAAAAATGGTACGCTGCTTTCTCTTTATTATAAGCAAAATAACGGTATAATCCGAAAGCGGATGAGAACTATCAAAAATTTTAAAAGCAGACAAGGTATGCATGTACTTGTGACATGTCATCCATTTTGAAAATATGAATGCGTGCTATTTTTCTTTAACTTCTCTACAACGTGTATGAACTTTGACATGTAGTCTTTAAGTAAACATAAAGCTAGATGTGCTGTAAATATACTTGCGGTTTGTCAGTAGTACTGAGGTTTACTAATTTTGAAGCAAAATTAAGTACTGATGGGAGATGACCATGGTCAATCGTGTAATACGAGTGTTTGGGGAATTGCCACCATACCATTAGTGAAATTTTGCTTTTGCCAACACTCCATCGAATAAGTCTATGACACCCAGGACCAGGTTGCCATCTATCATAGAGATAGATAGATCTACTCCCTCCGTCTAGAAAAAACGTAATTCTAGCTTTAAACCTAGATACGACGTGTGTACAAATTCAGAGCTAGAATTACGTTTTTTTATGGAGGGAGTACGCCATTTTGGCAATGTTGGTTTATAGGTTTTTTTGGAAAATTTTCCTTATTTAACGTGACACCTCTCTCTCCCTCTTCCTCTCTCTATCTCTCTGTGTCTTGTTTAGCAAAATTCAGCTGAAAAGAAAAACACCGACTCGGGGTTCAAGCACAATGAACGTATTAAATCACACAATTCAAGCATAGAAATATATATATATATATATATATATATATATATATATATATATATATATATATATATATATATATATATATATATATATATATATATATATACATGCATGCATGCATATGTGTATTTTACATTATATTATTTCATGTGCATATATTACAAAAGATTGCATTACAGTTGTTGTGATATAACAAGTTTCCTCTCATCCTCTAGCTTGGCTTCCATGGCGTGTTGGGTCAAGTAGAACTCGCCCTTGGAATCGATGACTGGTCATTAAAAAATCCGCTATAGACTCTTGAATTGCCTTTGATTTGGTCTTGTTGTATGACCTTTTCCTCCAACCATCGAGCCCTACAGGTTTGAATAAAAGGAAAATAAATTAATATATGTACATATATATATATATATATATATAAAGACATAGTAACACAATCAATAATAATAATTAAATGAATATATAGTGTATTTTTAACGTACTTTGAGTCTCTCAGTAGGAGTTCTTTGGGAGACCACCTTAATAAACTTGCAAACTTAGTAACCACAGTAGTTGTTCCCCTGTTCCTGCCTCATACACCACTTTACGAGAAAAAGATTTGTCATCCAATCTGGTGATCCGGTGAAAGCTATATATTTAATTAATAAAGATGATGCGATTTAGGGGACTTACTTTCAAAGGGATTACATTCAGTAGCGCTTTGCATTTTTCCATATGTTGCTTCTCAATAAAGGTTTTCCAAACACTACCCAATAAAAAATTTAGTCCCTTTAGTCCCGGTTGGTGGCACCAACCGGGAGTAAAAGTCTACCTTTAGTCCCGGTTGGTGGCTCCAACCAGGACTAAAGGTCCCTGCCACCTCTGTCTGGCGCAGTAGCCGTTGGGTAGGGACTTTTAGTCCCGGTTGGATCTACCAACCGGGACTAAAGGTATCTCTAGTCCCGGGTGCAAAAAATTCCGGGACTAGAGCCCATTTTAACCGATGATCAAAGGTCTGTTCTCTGCTAGTGAAATAGGCATGTTTTCTTCTCCTCTTTTTGTCTGCTCGGCGGATTCAGATGTTTCTCCTGAGGATTCATAAGTTGATCTTGGAGTTTTGGTTGATCTTGTGTGTCACACTGTTAGCGTGTATATGGCGCAGCGCAGCCCAAATATTCCTGTCCTGTATTGAGTTACTAGTCTGGTCATGGAGCTCAGATTTTGTCCTATATATACTCCTATATGAATTATGATCTGTACTGTATACCCTAAATATTTATGTTCGATTTTTGCAAAACTTGTATAAGGCTTAGCTGCAGCTACAGCTGGCAATAGCTGTGCATAGCTGCTAACCTGCTACAGAACCCAATCGGTAAAGTGCTCAGATTTTGAACATTAGGCTGGCGCAGTGGGTCACAGTGCTGCGTGTAGTGCACTGTTGCGGGCCGGCGGCACAGGAGATCCAAGGGGCCGGCGGCGAGTTGCTTCCAGCTTCCAAAGACGGCGTGGGGACACTGAGAGTGGGTGGAGCATGTGCGCATGCGTGGATGGAAGGGATGGGCAGCTTCGTTTCGTCTCCTCCCTCCTTTGCCCTGATGCGACGGGAAAGAACGAAAGAGGCAGAAGAGACCCAACAGCGAGATTGCTCCGTGAACGGGGAGGTTAGTCAGGCCTGGCCTGGGAACGGATGCCGGGGAAGCTGGTGGGCGGGCGGCCGCGGTGCGTGCTCGGCGTGGCAGGGCGGGGCGTGTTGGTTTGATCTCCCAACCACAGTGGCCCAACGGCCACTTGGGCCTTGACCTCGCGCCCTGATCGGGGGTGCCCAGTCCATGTATGGCTGGCGGGCCCCCGTCACACCGCGCAATAAATAGAGGTGGGGGCCGGCGGCTCTCAGTACGAGGTTGGACTGAGCTGTACGCCCCACTGGCAAACCCTACTCCGATCTAACAGAGGGGCGTAGCCAGTGACAGGAAGCACCGCCGCCGCCACGGCACTGCGCCAACACCACTTCACTGCACCATTCCTTCTTCATCGCCCGTTGCTGCCCTAGCGCAGATCTTCACCGGCGAACCTGTGATGGCCGGATCCGCCTCCTCAATGCCTACCGATGGTCTGTGCCTAACCCTAACTCTCCCTCTCCCTCTCTGTCCCTCTCCGTACACACCATTTCTACGAGAAACCCAATGAAACCCCACTGATCTACACCACGGATGGTCCTAAGATATTAACAATGGTATCGGAGCCATGGTTGCTAGCGTGTGATCTAGATCGGGGCAAAGAAAAGAAAAAAGAAAAGAAAGAGAAACGAACTTCGGTTCAGAGAAAATGAAACCCTAACCCTAAAGAAATTGGACGGTCCGGGGAAGTCTTACCAGGGCTTCCCCGCCGCCATCACTACCACCTCACGCGGGATGGAGCACCCGCCGCCGGCTTGCTGCCGCGCGGGAAGAGAATCAAAAGAACAGAAAAGAAAAGAACGGATTAGATCCTTTCGGATCTGAGCACACAGACCACGGGTTTCCCTAACCCTAACCCTAACTGGGCGAAGATGGAAGGGGCTCGGTTTCAAGACCGCTTGATCCGAACCCTAAACCCGCGACTCGAACTCGGGGAAGAAGAATAGGGCCCAAAACCTAACCCTAGATCTCCAACCCTATTCCCAATCGGTCAAAACCGAGAAGAAAAAGCAAGATCCGAAGAAACAGAAAGGGAAAAGGGGATGAGGAAGAGTCAGTGGGCTTACCTCGCCGCTGCGCAGCACTGCTGCCTCGCCGGCGCGTGGGGAGAAGAAGGCCGAGCACCAGGAGAAGCCTCTCGCCAAACTCAGGCCAAAGGGGCGCCGCGGCCAGGCCGCTCGACGGCAGCGCGCTCACCCGCTGGGGAGTGCGCACGCCGGCGAGGGGGCCGACGACGGCCCCGAGGCCCTGCTCGCTCTCGTCGTCACCTGCTCTTCATCGGGCTCGCGTGGCTAAGAGAGCAGAAGGGAGAAGGGAAGTGGGAGCTAGGGTTTCGGCCATCGTGGCCGGGGCGTTTTGATCGGCCGGAATGGTCGCTCAGCCGTCGAATCACCGTGGATGGCGAGGATTGTGCGGGCTGCATCGCGGCCCAGGCGGGGTGCACGGCCGCGGCGCTTTGCTGGCCCAGGCCCACGTTGTGGCCTGGGTGGCAGCGCGCGCGCGGGAGTGGCAGGCTGGGCTCCGAGTTGAGTTGGGCCGAGCCAGCTTTTGCTGATTTTTGGGCCCAGAGAGGCAGAATGAGCCTGCAATTTTGTTTTCTTTTTTACAGATTATTGAAAAAAAAGAAATTGGCTCAAAAGAAAATAGAAAAGGTATTTATTTTTTCCCTATGGATAAAATTCAAGAAAATGAGTTCTTTTTCCCGCTGCGAAGTTAAAGTTTATTATCTTCTCATTAAATTCGAACCAACGGGAGAATTTAATTGGAAGAGCAGTTGTAGTTATTCAGTAAATGATGAAAAGTCAATCATCCAGTTAAAATTGGAACCAACGGGAAAATTTTAATTGGAGGAATGGTCGGTTGATAGTTAAAGTTAAATTATGCTATTATTATTTTCTGACCAACGTTGATGATAACAATATTATAATTCTATGAGTTCTATGTTTAAAGTTTAAATCTCTGATGAATTTTGCATCAAAGTGACCAATTTTTCAGAGAAAAGATAAAGATCAAGGAATGCTCTTAAACTAGAGAAATGTATTTTCATGTTTCCGCTACAATGAAGTTGATTATCTTCTAATTAAATTCGAACCAACGGGAGAATTTAATTTTGAGGAGCAGTTCTATGTTTTCAAGATTATTGAGGTTCTATACGTTAATTCCATATCTGCCCAACGGTGATGTGGAATTAATGTAGAAGAATGATGTTTATTCTATTTGTGCCCAACGGTGATATAGAATAGAACATAAAGATTTCAATGTTTAATGAGCATTATTGTTGAATATTTTTTTTCAAACAAAGACCTCCATGCTTTCATTCTTGAAGGCAATA